TGAACATTATATTGTAAGGCAATTCCTAATGATAGGGAAAGGGATCGATGCCTAAATATTGTTGTTTTCTCTTGAAGTTTGTTTAGTTTAAATTGACGTGGGTAATTTCAAAACAAACTAATTTGCATTTTATATTAAAATAAATTCTTTAAGTAGCAATAGGCTTCCGTCCTAGAAATACGACATTGGTCAACCACTGTACTATGTCATCTAGTTGAGTTATACTTGGTCTGGCTAGGTGTAGTAGGTAGCTCAATACAGTGTTATTACCGCTCCAAATCTATGCTTGAGTCCAATTTTTGGCGCTGTTTCCAGCGAATGAAAGATTAAGCTATTATGACTAGGCTTATTTGTTTTCTACATTTATTTTAGTTTTCTATTTTTCATTTTGTTATTCCACTATGTGCTTCACTTTCATATCTAAGGTTCTTTGTGAGTAGCCCTAGTTTATGCACCATAGAGACAAATGCAATCTCCTACTACTTGATAGAGAGATAGAAAGGACCATTCGTGGCATAAGGCAAAAAAGGCAAATGCAAGTTATTGAAGGAGAAGTGCATATTATGGAGCAGCAACAACAAGGGACACCTAGAAAACAATGGTGACGACCCTCATGCAAGAACAATGAGGTTTAACCTAAGCTAACGTGGAATATGATAACACCTAAATGGGTGTTATTTACCCTTCATATTAAGGTTTGTTTCATGCCAATTCATGTGCATAATTCTGTGAACATTGTCAATTGCATTCCTATTTGATTTCAGCGTGATTTCAGGGTGCTTTAGACATTACATGCGAATTAGGTACAAAATAAGGTCACAAATGTAGCAAATGGGGCAGAGACTGAAGATCGCGGCCTGGAGCAAGAGATCACAGCCAAGAACCATGCCTACGAAGTCAAGCCAAAGATCGCGGCCAGGAAGTCTAAGATCGCAGCAACGATCTAGAGGGCTTAGGGCGCGAACTTCGTGAGGAAGAAGCCGAGGAGAAACAGAGAGTTTCCCAAGGTAGAACACAACCGAAGTACAAAATGACCGCGAGGAAGTTCGCGACCGTGACTTGTGGATCGAGACCGCGAAGTCAACCCACGAACTCCTCTTCCCCAAAGGCAAAAACGGCAACCTCTCGAGATCACGACCTCCTGAAGAAGATCGCGCCAGCGATCTCCATGCTTCATGCCTGCGATCTTCTTTGTCCTCTTATGCCTATAAATAGAAGACCCCTTTTTCGCATTCAAGAGAGCTTATTTTGAGATAGAATTTCTGGTTTTAGAGAGAGAAGAGAGAAAAGTTGAAAGAAAGAGAAAAGGAGAAGAAGAGGAGCCATTTTCCCCAACATCAAGTCATCTTCCACCTCTTCTATGTATCTTCTTCCCTCTTTTATGGAGTAGTCATCTAATGTACTAGGGGTTCTAAACCCCAAACCCTAGTTTTAGGGTTATTATGTACGTATGAATATTTTAGGGTTTTAATGAATGAATGTGTTTATCTTGTTGATTTGCATGCTATTCTATCTTTGATTGTGTTTGGGTAAGTCGCTCTAATCTTCTCTACTAGCCTACTGGAGCTTCTACATTGGGTATGGAGTTTTAAGGTTAGACGGGTATGCGCCATCAAGTAAATTGAGGTTAGATGTATGAATAGGATCCTATGGTGGTCAAGGCGACCGAACCCCTGTCATAGGAATGCCTTCCTAGATAGAACTCGTGATGAAACCTCGGTGTGGATGATGGGTAGTACCCATTGAAAGGATCTATGAGCTTAATGCCCCAGATACAATAGCCTAGATCGAGGTGACTTTATATGGGTTTATGGGAGGCGTACTCGGAGGCGTGTGGATAACCACGAAAGTCCACGGAAAAGAGCTCACTCACCACAATTGACAAACCCTAAATATCTAGACATTGCATAATAGTCCTGAGCTAGGATGAGGGGTAGTTCCCCAAAGTACCTGCTTTTATCTTTATTTTCCCTCTTAACTAGTAGTTCGCTCATATCCTCCAAAACAAACCCTTAAACCGATTGGCTAGATAACAACAACGTGGGAAGTAGGCTAGGGTACCAAGATGCAAGTGAATAAGACCTTAATTGCCACTATATGCAACGCCATTTTATGTTAAACTTGGCCTAGGATGGAGTAATTGTTGACACGTACTAACCATTGACAATAATTTGCATGATGAAATTGATAAAAATACATATAGTTTCCTATATTTCTCTCTAGTCGCAAATAAAAACTTTGAGATCAAGAATGAGGTGATATCGATGATTCAAGCATTATTTTTATTCAATGAAATCAAGAACGATGATTCTCATAGACATGTGCAAGTGTTTTTGGAGTTGACGGATGGGATTAAGCACAATGGGGTTCCACATGAAGTAATTTGCCAAAGGTTGTTTCGTTCTCTTTGATTGGTGTTGCAAAGTTATGGTTGAATAATCAACAACCTTGATCAATTGTTAGTTGGACAAATTTATGCGAGAAGTTCTTCGCAAGGTACTTTCACCATCCAAGACTTCTGAAATAAGGAGTGAATCACATCCTTACAACAAGAGGAGAATGAGCTTTTGTTTGAAGTGTGTGAATGCTTCACCTTCCTTCTTTTGAAATGACCACACTAGGGCCTCACTCATTTGTTACAAGTGGAGACTATTTACACCAGTCTCACGAGGGATTCAAAGGACCTTATCGTTGCGGCCAAAGGTGGTGCCAAAACTTGATGTAGAAACAAGTGATAATATCTTAGAAGTTCTTAAGGTCGTATTTAACGAGGATTTTTTATAACAACTACTCAAACTTAACCTAATGTGTCGAATAATATGCAAAAAAAAAAAAAAAAAGCAAATGAATGTGGGTTGAGGTGCCCTTCATTTCGTGTCCTAAGCTATTTATGCAAAAAAGAAAACAAACAATGCAATGCAAGAGATGGAAACGTGTAAAGCAAGTGTTTAAATAATAAATAGTGAGAGATTGTCATATTGAATACTTTAGGGGATAGGGGGAAAATGACATTTTTGTGATAATTTGAGTATTAGAGTGAAATAGCCCTAAGCTAATGGCTAAATTTGCAACCTACCCAACTTAAATATGAATTATGTTTGGCAAAATACACTTGTATAGCCATAATTTTCACGTTTGTGACAAATATAGCCATATCTATCGTAAAACACAACATAGCCCGAAAATTAGAAGGTAGTGAGACAAATCTAGCCAAATCTGTTAGAAACTTTAACGTCATTTGGGATGCCGTCAAGTTCTGTGACGGAACGCCAACTTGGATCCAAGTCATCGACCATGTAAGATACACATCAACAGCCCTTTACATGTAAATGTCACATTACAATTAACTAAAAATAAAATAAAATAAAATAAAATAAGAAAATAACTTTGTTACTCTCTCCACACCACCCATTCACATTACAATTAACTAAAAATAAAATAAAATAAGAAAATAACTTTGTTACTCTCTCCACACCACCCATCGTCGACATCTGCCGCCGCTAGCAACAATCTAAATCCTTAGACCATTTCGCCGCCGCCCTAACTCCTACCCCCCTAGCCCTCCATCTTATTTCCACCGCTCGTCGTTGTAGATCCAACTCTCACCAGACAACTGATTCGTCTTCCTCATTTTCCTATTCCTAATAAAAAGACGAGCTGGAGGCGGCAGAGATGGACCATCTGCAGCAGCGCGGGTGGTAGATGGAGGCTTCAGCGGAGTCGGCGATGGGGTTTATGGGTTGAGGAGAACTCGAGGAAGAGCTGTCGAATCGCGGATCTGGAGTTTTCTGGTCTTCCTCTGTCGTGCAGAACAGGGAGAGCAAGACCAAGTCGAGGAACCCGACCCGAAGGTGATACAAGCGGACCCTAAAGTCTGACGGCAGAGCAAGGACCGCATCCCTTGGCTTCTTCCCACGCCTCATCTTCTCGGGTCCTCCGCCGCTCTTCTCCTCTCCTCATCTTCTTGGCAGATCTACTCGATTTTTAAGTCCAAGAAGAAGAAGAAGAGGAATCCACTCGAATCAACCGCCTCCGTCAGAACCCGAATAAGGGGAACAGTGCGGGAGGTGCAAACATAGAATCGGGGGGGGGGGGGGGGCAAATGTAGAATTGAGGTCGACGACAACGATGCAGGTGAGACCGGTGCTCTGCCTCGCGGCCTGCGCTTTGCTCGGGTAATTGGTGTGGAATAAGGTTTTGGGTTGCTGGGATGAAGATGATGTCGATGGCGGCGGCGATTTAGGGTTGTTGGGTAGAGGTGGGGAATAGGGGTAGAGGAGTACGGGGAGGAAGATAGAAGTTTTTTTTATTTTTCATTTTGTTAAATCAAAAATTTCATTTACGGTTTACATATATTTTTGTTAATACACCTGTCCGACAAAAAATCGCCAAGTCAGCATTTCTGTTAGTACAATCTTACTGTTAAGTAACACCGTCAAAAAGATGGATGGGAGGGGCTATATTCTGTTTTCCGATAGTTATGGCTACATTTCTCACAAACGTGAAAGTTATGATTATGGATAGGGGTGGCCGTTCGATTACCGTTTAAACAGGTAACCGGTCGGTTATCCACTAACTTGTAACCGAACTTCGGTTGGTTATCGGAGGCTGGACGAAATTGTTTTTTTATCTTAAAAGTAATTTTGGTTAACCAATAACCGAGAAATCAAATCCTATTTTGATCGGTGTTTGGTAGGGATGGTGGTTATTTCGGTTAACCAATAACCGACCGATCGGTTACCGATTATAACCGAAATAATAGAAAGGCAACCCCTAGTTATGGAAGTGTAAATTTGCTATTCTGTTTTGTGAAGATATCCCGAGAAAAACAGTCTTTAGCATTTTCCGCCCGTCCGTCGGTTCTTCCGCCAGGAAACCGCCGCGTCCTCACCAATCCACCACCGTTCTTCCCATTTCCCAACCTCCAATTCTCTGTCGGCCGCCATCTTCGGAGTCAAATAGTGGTATCCTTCTAGTCAAAAACTCTCTCAATTGTAGTCATGGATTTTAGCAACCACAAGATGCCTTATTCCCCTACCTCTTCCTCCTCCTCCATCTCCTCCACGCCTCGCCCGACAACCACCACCGCCACCACCTTCGCCGGCGGGGCCACGACGACCTCCACCACCGCTGCCACCGCCGACCCGATGCACTCGTGGTGGGAATCCATCTCCAGAGCACGCTCCCGCATTCTCGCTCTGAACTCCCTCCTTCCTCCCGATCCCTCCTCTTCGCTCTCCCTCTCTTCTCTGGCAGACTCCGACCAGCCGGCGCTCTCCTTCCTATCGTCCCTCGACGCCTATTCGCTCTTCTCGTCTGCGATTTCGGCTCCTTCTTCAGGTTCGGGCTCCGATCCTCTCTGCCAGTGGCTGTACGAGACCTACCTTTCGGCCGATCCTCACCTTCGTCTGATCGTTCTCTCTTTTGTTCCCCTCCTAACCGGAATTTACCTCTCCCGGATCCACTCCTTGGAGTCAACATACGCTCCTTCTCTCGCTGGTTTTGAAGCTGTCCTCCTTGCGATCTACTCGACGGAGGTGAAATCTCGGGCTGGGAAGCCCGTTCTGGCGCAGATTCCAGATCTCTCGCAGCCGTCTCTGTATCACAGTCCTCGGAACAAGCAACAAAGACCCACTAAGCCGAGGCCTTTGGTTGGTATTTTGAGTGCTCCGTTGGAGCCTCAGCTTGCTGTGAAGTCAACGAAGCGGCCGATCATCGTAGGCGTGGCCCTTGATTGCTATTTCCGGCAGATCTCGCAGATGCCGAGTTGGTCTAAGGTGGAATTGTGCAAATATGCGGCTGCGTGGGCTGGGCAGGACTGTGTTTGCAAGAACAAGTTTGATGCCGAGGAGAAATCTGAGAAGGAATACGCCAATGAGAATGGCGCGGGGTACTTTCTAGAGGGCAGCAACTTGAGCAATGGGTTCGACCAAAATGGCCACGGTAATGGTGTTGAGATTGAACATGAGGAAGATGTTGTGGAACGGATTAGGGAATTGAAGATTGAAAGAGTTGATTCAGGGGAATTGGAATTGAAGGGGGTGAGGATACCCCTGGCTTGGGAAGTTTTGCAGCCATTGTTGAGGATTTTGGGGCACTGCTTGTTGGGTCCATTGTGCGCCCAAGATGTCAAAGATGCTGCTTCTGTGGCAGTCAGACGATTGTATGCGAGAGGGTCTCATGATTTGCTTCCACAGGCGATATTGGCCACTCAGAGCTTGATTCGGCTTGATAATAGAGCAAGGGAGACTGCACAGGTAGCAGCAGCTACAAGTACGCCGTCAAATGCAACTACACCCAGCAAAGCTAAGAAGCCTGAAGTTCTATTGGTTTCCAAATGAACCCTTCCTCCAGGTTGCAGTTTGCTTTACAGGTATGGAGCTTCTGCACATTCTCTTGTATCCGTGTTATTACATGTTGTAGAGTTGTTTCTTGATTAGTGGTAAAGTGAAAGCCTTGTAGTTTTTTAGTATGGCATTCAACTTGATTTATGTTGACTGATCTCACTATATGAAGACATACATTGTCATCAGCATTTGAACTTCTTTGCTCTTGCAATTCCATTTTCCCCCACTAGTCGCTTGAACTTTTCAGTAAGGGTAATTTTTGATAAGTTGTGTTGAGTATATGTTTTATTGGTTGAGGTAGCTTCAATTTGGTACTGCATCATCTCCTATGGCAAACTATTAGTCAGTAGTGAAGAGGCTGCTGCCTTCTTAAATACACATACTGAATTTTATAACTAGTATAGGTGTATATGCAACTTTCTCATTCCCTTAGTGTTCGGAATAAAGCTTGCTCTCTCATGCACGACAGATAGTTTTCTCTATAAGATAAAACTTGTTTAGATTTTCAATTTTATGTTCAGGCATTCAGTTCTCTAATCTTATTTAAGGCCTTTTGGCTATGCCTTGATTGATCTTTGACCCTAGTTTTACTGTATTAGAGTACGTAGAGAAGAATTAGTCTCAAGTGAACATGCAGGATTGCTCAATCTCATCTTTCTAAAATCAGTATTCGATGGATTTTCTTATGTACAGCTATAATTCGGCACAAATTATCTCGAATACATGAATAGTCTGATAATGCTTTTGCACAAACCTATTGAGCATGGACTAGGAAGTAACTAGCTTTTGTTCTCCATATTGAAACCCCTAATTTGTTGCTCAGCAGTCCTCCTAGGAAGCTCATTCTAGGAGGAATGAGCAAAGTTTTGCTCAACATTTAGTAGAATCCAATTGTTAAGTACTGCTGCATGAGAATTTGAGAAATGAGCAAAGTATTTCCATGGAATTTTTACAGAGTGCTAATAATACTGGTACCGTGGCAGTTTAGTATTGCAATGTAGGAACTGTATATCCCATTTAAACTGATTTGGGTGGGATTGGGGAATGAGCATGATTCGGTATTAGAAGGATGAAAGTTTTTCATCAGAAAAGTTTACAATGACGCTTAAATGTTTGTTTTGTGTGACAGCTGTAAAAGCAGCAGCTGGTTTTAAACTCTATGCAGAAGACTTACCCTGACACGATATTGGACTTGCTGGCTGGAGCACTATGTGATGATGGGAAATTGCTGTTGTGCTAATGTTTAATGAGTGGATCTTTGCCCCAAAACCACAAGTATAGTCCGTTGAAGTTTGAATAGTGAAAGTGTTGCGGCCAGGGCAGAATGAGATTTAGGCAAAAAGGCCATGCGGGATCGTAATGCTGCCTCCAGAAATTTGTAACCTCTACAACGAGGTGGTTTTCAGAATTGTGTAGCTCTTGCCTTTACAGTGTGCAACTTTTCGCAATTCTCATGTTCCTTCAACAAATATTAATAGGAAGCAAGGTCGGAGGTGCCCCACCCTCCGCTGCGGCGGCGGGTGGGTGATTACTGTAGTAACCCATTTCGATGGGTACCATTTGGCAGCTTGTGAAATTAAAATATCGATATTTAATCATTGCAAATTAGGTAATTTTTTTTATGTTGTGCAAGCCCAAAGGGCATGGGACAAAGACTTGACACAATTACATGACCGATTCAAATACTACACGATAGTCCGTATGCAATCAGACTACGATGAAAGAGCCTGTTAAGCCACTACTTGGGCAGCTCTGAAGAAGCTCCGAGGAGCAAAGACACGACACTGACGGGGAAAACAAAAACAGCAACCCAACATCTTCAAGATAGTCCCGCCAACGAGATTTAATCTCTTGTGATAGAGATCTCTTGCAAATTAGGTAATTGGTTCACTGATATATTTCATGTTTGTCACTAAAATATCTTGTCCATTTGGTAAAGCATCTTGAGCAACCACCTGCAAAATGAAAACAAGAGAATAAATCTCAATTGTTCCCCTGAGGATGTCGAAATACCAACAGGTACTCTGAGGGAATGTGAAAATTTGATTGTGGTTTTGAACGAATATGAGGAACTCAGTGGGCAGCGGGTGAATCTGGCCAAATCAGCTGTTTGCTTCAGCAAGAACGTTGCGGTGCCAGATCAAGAGTTTTTGGCTACTATTTTGGGGGTGGGGGCGGTTGGGGTCCATGATAAGTATTTGGGACTTCCTACCCTGATTGCCCGGTCTAAGATGGCTACCTTTCGTAATCTGGAGGAAAAACTGATAGAAAGGTTGCAGGGCTGGAAACAGAGGACTTTATCTTGGGCGGCTAAGGAAACATTGATCAAATCGGTGGCCTTGGCCCTGCCTTTGCATGTAATGTCTTGTTTCAAGCTTCCTCTTTCGCTCTGTCGTCTTTTGGACATGCATGTGGCCCGGTTTTGGTGGGGGGCGGATGAAAACCATTCTAAGATAAGATGGATGTCCTGGCGTAATATGTGCAGGAGTAAGCACGAAGGGGGGATGAGGTTCCGGCGGTTCGAACACTTTAATCAAGCCCTCCTGGCAAAAATTGGGTGGCGAATCCTGATGGAACCTCAATCCCTCCTGGCCCAGGTGTATAAAGCTAAATACTTTCCTAATGGTTCCTTCATCCAGGCTAAGGCTCGTTCACGACCTTCCTGGGGGTGGCAGAGTATTTTGTTTGGGCGGCAGCTGTTGGAGATGGGGTTGCGCTGGCAAATTGGGAATGGTCGCTCTGCGTCCATGCTTCGATCTACCTGGATACCTCAGTATCAGCTTGACCCCCCTCGTTATAATCCTCTGATCCTACCAGTTGGGGGTGATCCTCTGGTGGCTGAGCTTATTGTTCAGGGGGAGGGGCGGTGGTGTGAGCGTAAAATTAGCCAATGGTTTGACCCTGCTACCTGTCAAGCCATCAAGAAAATCCCTCTACCTCGCCAGGCTGTGGAGGATAAGCTGATCTGGCATGGTACTGTTGATGGGTTGTTTTCGGTAAAGTCGGCTTACCACTTGGCGGTTACTTTGGATAGGAGAAGAGGTGGTTGGAAACCCACGGTGTGCTGGATGGATAAGGCTAGCTGGATTCGTCTTTGGGACGCAAATATCCCTCCTAAACTTAAGGTGTTTGTTTGGCAGATCCTGAATCGTGCTCTTCCCACTACGGAAGCGCTAATTGAAAGGAAAGTGCAGGTTCATCATCGGTGTCCGGTTTGTTGGGGTGCTTCAGAATCCTTGGAACACCTATTCCTGTATTGCCCGGTGGCTCGTGCTCTTTGGGATTATTCGGGACTGGAATATATTGGGGAGGGGTTGCCCCGGGATCATTTTCCGCTTTTCCTGAAGAGGGTGCTGGCTCTGCTTGATCAACCTAGATTGTTCATGGCGGTTGTGGCCATCCTTTGGAGGATTTGGCGGTCTCGAAACTGGGTGGTTTTTGAGGGTAAGCAGTACAGTTTCCCTGCTTTGATGAGGCAGTTTAGCCAGCAGTATGAGGAGTGGGTGGGTTTGCCCCCCGATCCAGTCCCGCAGGGAATGGTGAGGCCAATGGGACTGTCTGATTCTGGGGGAGCAACGGGTATGGTTTGTATGTGGGATGGTGCCACCAGGAGAGGGTCCCATTCGGCAGGTGGTATTGTTATTTTAACCCCTGGTAGGGAAGTCCTCTTGGCTAAAGGGGTCCACTTCCAGTCTATTGATGATCCTATGGTGGTGGAATTGATGGTCCTCCGTGAGGCGGTTCTCTGGTGCCTGATTCTGGGATTCACGGAGGTTGCCTTTGAAGGCGACGCCAAGGTCGTTATTGATAAAGTTATTCGGGCGGACGTCGGGGATAGTCGGATGGGGGCAGTGCTGCAGGAAGTAGTTCATTATTTTGGATCCCATCCTGGTTTTAGTGTTCGATTTGTAGGTCGAGAGTACAATAGGGTAGCCCATAGGGTGGCTCGCAAGGCCCTGTCTTTGTATCCGACGAGGAATCGTGTCTTTGATTATCAGGCCTGGCTGAATTCCAGGATGTAACTTCTTTGTCTTGATCAATATATATGATTATCTTTTGCCAAAAAAAAAAAAAGATGTCGAAATACCAACAACAAAGCAATCACAACACCGAAGCCGTGACCAGAACCAAACACACCAGATTGCTCTGAACCAAACACACGACAGCTTACAGAAATGAAGGAATCCAAACAGAGAACACAACATTATATATACACGACTTACATAAACCAAATGGAGGAATCCAAACGTATAACAACAACATCCACAAAGTAGAAACCACAGCTTACAACAACATCCACAAAACACAAACCAAAAACCAGATAACTTAGCATCCCACCGCAACTTATAGAAATCAAATAACTAAAGATAACTCAGAGAATAGGGTGCTTAGATCAGTATAATCGTCTTACAGAAACGAAGGAATTCAAATAAAGAACACAGAACAACACCATCCACAAACCATAAACCCCAAACAAAGACCGCATAGGGTCGCAATTGAATCCAAAAACTTAATCTCCAGTCTCTAAGTTACGCATGCATATCTCTGAGTTACGCATGCAAGACCACATGTAGGGATTCCATTTATCAAAATCAACAAAATCGTATTGTAATCGACACAAACCCAAACTCCCCCAAAAATCCCCAGCAAAATGCAATCAGCTGAAAATGAAGAAGAAGAGGGTGATCGAAGGAGAGTAGGGTGAGTAGAGTATTGTCGTCTTGCTCGATTCTGCGTGGAGGATTTGATGAGAGGTTTCGATGTTACAGAGAAGAAATACTGGTTTCGATTCGTAGAGGGTTTTTTGAGCGGCGTCTTTCAATTTTTGGGGTAAAAATTCATAGTCGATATGGTTTTGGAGCGATGGAGGAAAATTAGATTAATTTCCGTGCCCTATTTTCCCTCTCTCATTTCCATTATCCGTACATAAAAAGGAAAAAAAATAAAAGTACCCATGTTTTGACTAATATAACTTTGTCATATTACCGAAGTTATATTACTTAAAATGAAGTGCAGCACCGCTATTTTGACAAACTTATAATGACATAAAATATTTTTCATAATAAAGATGTAATATGACAAAAATATTAAGAAAATATATAAATTCGTCACAATATGTATCTAATATGACAAGGTTTAATGACAAAAATATTTGTTGTAAAAAAAACATAACTAATATGAGAAATTTTCGTTCTGCCTATTATATGATCTATTGTGATAAACCTAAAATGACATATTGTAATTTCGTCAGGACATCCCAAAATTGTTGTAGTGCTTGTGCCGCAAGCATGGGAGACGACATAAAGACTCTTACGGATTAGATTGAAGCCCTACTTCAAGTGCAAACCAACAGTCAAATCGAGATCGAAACCGCGCTACAAACTTAAATATTCTCATTTTATTCACACCACCGTCCACCGACCCAAAACCTCTTGCTCTCCGCACTAATCTTCTTCTTCGCCCACTTCTCCCACCCTATGGATCAAATTAATTTTGAGATGAGAGAAAAAAAATCCCATTTGACATATAATGATCGAAATTTTCAAGGTAGGGTGAGTTAGGTTGAAATTATCATCTAAAAATGAAAAACTAAACAACCAGTTTACGAGTTACTCTGGGTTAGGCCCATTATCATTTATCAAAGTAACTTTATTTTTTACTTATTAAAAACACAAATACAGATACCAAATAATATAATCTACAATACATAAATTCAACCATATACCAATTTAACAATCCGAAAAACCAAACAACGCCTATGTGTAATGTTTTATTGGGGTCGTTTGGATGGATCAATTGTAAAACGAAACAATTTGATCAATTGTTTCATTTTATAAAACGAGTCATTTAAAACGAGTCAATTCAGATTACCTGCCCCCACCCCAAACAATTGTAATTGGCTCAAAATGAGTCAATTCAGAATTCCCTAGCTCAAATTGCTTCATCCAAAATTTCTGATGCCAAACGGATCAATCTGGTACAATTGACTCAAAACGAGACAATTGTGTCAGATTGATCAATTAGAATTCCTCATCCAAACGACTCCTAAGTTTCGTGTTGGAGGCCTGCCCATGCTACTGCGCCAGCGTGGTTTCGCGGTCAACCCCGGTGATGCCAATCCCTTGAACTACCTACCATATTTTGCACATATCAAGTTGGTCATTAATTTCTGAGGTTGGAATATGAAAAGGACGAAAATTAGCTGCAACCCGGGTTGCAGCCGTCCCCTGCAGCCGGCCACACGTCATCGTATAATTGGCTGTTTTATCAAAATACATGCTTTCATTTTTATCTAACGGAGCTATTGCCGGACGGAATTCTCCCTCTTTCACCATAAACACTTTTTTCTTTTGCGTATTCATTATTTCATTATTCTCTCCTTTCCGTTAATTATTAGTTCTTTGCTTTGCTTTTCATTCTACTCTCTACTGCCTATACTTGTCCATTGCCATAAAATATTATTTAATTTTGTAGTCTATGGTTCAACCAAATACTTTTTTTTACAACGGTAGATAATATTTCTAAATCTAGAAAATAATAACTTATTTATTGAAATGTAAAAAATTCAAATATAGTGTAAACTTATGAAACGATATTTTATTTATTATTTGTTGAAGTGGCTATTTTATTTAGTATGTGGCGAATTTTAATACTTTGATTAATTTAGGGTTGAACATCTTCCTAGGTTGAATAGAGGACTACCAATTCATCATGTGGGTCTGAGTACGAGTGTAATTGTGTTCATAATGTTGTATTGGGTTTACCCAATTGCGGGAGTTAGTTGTGAACACCTCAAATGTTAAGGTCGGTTGCATGGAACGTGGGGATGGCAATTTGACGCACAGTAGGGCTTTACCTGACTACCCATGATGGGGGGGGGGGGGGGTATTACCCGACCCGCAATAGCATTGGACAAGGTATGTGTATCTACTTCTGACCTGGCCCGTCATGTTCTTGACCCATTCTATCTCAATTTAAGTGGTAGTCTATGTGATTTGAACCTGAGTCACTTCTACTATTATAGTAAACATATTTTTCATTAGACTATAACTCATTTGTTCTTGTATTTTAAATCCAAATAAATTTTTAAAAGCTAACAATGAAACCCACTTACAAGGTCCACTCGTCTAATAGGACATATCGAGAAAATTTGTAGAACAGTGTTAGACACCTAATATATTTTACCGTTTGTCAATAATACGAAACACGTTGTCTGCAGCTATAATTTGTACAAAGGATGTTTTTTATTTAATAATTGACGTTAACACTAAACTATAAGAGTCTCTGCTGGTATTTTGGCTTCTGTGAATAAAAGGGTGAATTTTCCAAAAAAAAAAAAAAGATTCACTCCAAAGAGAGGATTCCGTTCGCCGTTACCTACGGACCTCCGTAAACTACTCTCTCCTTTATTAAAATAATAATAAAACTATTGATAATTTAAGAAAAAACCAACCAATTATATGATGCCATGTCGCCGGGCTGCAGGGGATGGCTGCAACCCGGGTTGCAGCTAAATTTCGTCCATATGAAAATCCTGGTCCACCTTTGGTCTCGTCCATCTTACATGAAGAAAGAGCTCTCTCTCTGTTTTTTTCATTTTTCTTTTTCATTTCATCCATTTTAAAAACATGCGGAACAAGTAGTAGACCAGGGAGATGAAAAAAGTGGAGCAATGAGATTGTGATTGTGTGGTATTTGTGTAGTTGAAGTTGAACTCTAAAGTGGAATCTCCCATAAGATGATACGAAAAAGAGGAAAAGTGAGACAACATAGTACGATGTGTGATTTGATCGAAAATCTGATTTTACAGTTTTACAATGAGACACTATACCATCCCGTTTAATTAATCGAGTGCACAATTGCATAGCAATACGTACATTTTCATTACAGAATCCAAGTAAGATGTTTAAAATTACACGAATGTTCCCCGAGAAGAACAATCTTACAATATACACACACTTCCCCGAATAAATATTTGCCTAGTCAACGTTTAGGAGAAAATGTAAGAGAAAATTGACTTTTCCGCGTAAACTTTAATTTCGTGGACTATAGCTAGAGGTCAGTTGACAGCGGTGCAGAGTGTACGAATCTCTCCCGCAGCTCCGCTCTTGACCTCAACATTGCCCATCTTCACCATCGACCTCCCGAATTCCACGCCGAAAGTCAGCCCCGCCAGCCCCCGAATCCCCAGGAAGCGCTGCACCAGCCCTCTGGTGCCTGCGTCGGCCCACAGCACGGCGTCGGACTCCAGCACACCGCGCCCGCTCCTCAGGTTGCCGTAGTAGTTGGCGTCGAACCGGTTGGGGCTGCCGGTGTCCATCGCCACCCGCCTCGCCCCGTCCCCGTTCTGCGGGCACAGCGCCCGGAGCTGCGGCACGAACGCCGCGTCCAGCGACGGATCCGCTCCGCTCGCCGCGCCCGGGAAGCCGTACAGCCTGTACCTGAACAGCTGGCACGCTGCCGTCCCGATCGTGTGGGCTCCTGCCAAATTTAAGTTATTCCGAACACATTGGTCAGAGTTTCCACTACAATTTGCGCATATAGATTAGGAGCGGCGGAATCAAAATTACGTATTCAACGAAGGAAAAACAAAATAATCAAAGAGTTATCGATCGAGTTTTTTTTTTTAAATACCAACGTCACTAAAATAAAATTTATTGAAAAATTTCGACTCGAAATTTGAACGAGCATGTTTGTCGATTGACAAGCGTTATGTACGGCCCGGTAGATTAGAGTAATTAAGGATTGTATTAAAATACCAGAAAGAGCTACGAGGTCCTGAGCGTTGAGACCCTTCTCGTCGTACTTGCGAATTTGCACGGCCACCGAATCGTTGAAAGCCGGCAAATTGGCGGCGTCCGATGCCAACGACACCCTCCCATCTCTTCTCCCGGTCGGCACACTCCAAAAAGGCCCATTCGTCTGCATATAAAATTCAATGACGATATATTCAATCGTAAATCAACTGATTCGAATAGTTCGAATTGTTGAGGAAACGTCGATGTATGGTATTTATTTAACCACTTCAATTTATAATTAAATTCTGAAATATGTGGTTAAGACTGCTGATTAACCAAACTCCAACGAAACAATGTATTTTGTAACAAATATGTTAATTCCCTTTAGGAAAATATACCACAGAAACCGACAAAAGCACATGGGGGCGCAAGGCAAATGAATTTACCACGGCAACGGAGTCACGGGCCGCAAGAGCGAGGATGTCGGCACAGGAAACGACGCCGGGGCAAGCGACCTCCAACTGTGCCTTGGCGTCATCCACGACGTCGAACCCTCGGAGCTGGCGGTTGGGCGGCGCGGTCTTCTCGGAGGTGGGCCCGTCCAGGAGGATGGAGGCGTCGCAGCCGTGGACGAAGCAGTCGTGGAAGTGCATCCGCAGTATCCCGGGCGCAATGCTGGGGTCGGAGCTGAAATGCGACTGAACCACCGACCGCACGATCGCCTCCGCCCTCGGGCACGTCCTCGAGTAGAACCCCACCCTCGTCCCTTGCCCTCGAGCCCCTCCGCTCGCCACCGCGGCAACCCAGACCACGAAAAACAGTACCATATTCCGGCCCAACTTTGCCATGCTAAGCTACACGTGATTGTTTCTTTTCTTTTCTTTTCTTCTCAGCGGGAAAAAGCTGAAGTGGTTGATTGCTATACTGGAGTTCTTGAGGGCGTGATGCTCTTATATAGATGGTTGGAAAAGAATATGGTAAGCAAAGGCGGCTAATGAGTGAGTAATGAGTGTATTGGATGGGATGGGATGAGATGAGATTCATGAGAAGAAATGATCAACGGGCCATGATAGAGCAAGAGAAGTTGGGAAGGAAGGAGTCAAAAGGTAGCTAGCTTAGCTAGGCTGAAAACAATTGAATGATGGGGGCCTGCAACTGTCTCCCCTCTTGTGTTTGCATTAAATGGGTGCGTGGACCAGGACTTTTTGGTGTGTGCTTCGTTCGTTCCCCCTTCGACGTCGGAGGCAATAGTGGTCAGTACGTGTGTGGATGGGGACGGGATCTGCATTTATGCTATACCATATTTGCGATACAACTTGGCTTGTATTAATTTATGAGAGCTACTTTCACGCGATTAAGTTGCTTTTAGCAAGAGGTAATTAGTATTATGGCGAGGATATACGTAGGTCGTCACATGCACAAGTTTGACGAGGAGAAGTTATGAGGGAAGAAACCTTCTTCATCCCAGTCTCAAATATCTTCAAGATGGGTGTACCAACAGATTTGGTTTGGTGAAACCCTAAATCCTATTTCATTCTCATTCATCTTCTGCACTTTATAGGTTGTGGATCAAATTAACAAGACAAAACCAGCTCCTTACCGTTTTGTTTGGGAGCTTAATTTGTGAGAAAATAAAGTACAATTTTGAACATAAAAGGAAAAGAAAGCGAAATGAAGTGGCAAAACGGCATCGTATGAGTCAGGGACGGAGCCAGGATTTTCGATTAGGAGGGGCCAATTTTTTTTTCATATATACTTATCAATTTGATAATTCAAAACAAAATTCCTCATAATTTCAAATTTTAAAATAAATCTAGTCGTAAAATATAGTAGTCATGAGTATTTATAAATGAAAACATGATAAATTTTCAAAGAAATTAACTTACACGGAAAGGGTAATCAACCCTGAAAAAGTGATTTCAAAGAACCTAATTATAAGTTGAAGAAAAAAAATACGATAAATTTTCAAAGAAATTAATTAGCAAAGAGAAGGTAATCAACCCCTAACAAGTGGTTTCAGAAAAACTAATTATAAGTTGAAACAGGGAATTTTAGAAAAGAGATGAGGATAACGCCTGCTTAACCTCTACGATGCCAATGTTACTTGTGTTTTAACTTCATATTTTGTGCAATTTAAAAAGTTTGGGGGGGGGGGGATAACAAGCCAGCTCCGTCCCTAAAACGACGCCGGAGAAGTCTTCAATGTTCATTGTCTGTTACCCCCCCCCCCCTCTCCCCGCAAGGTGGTGGACATAGATTATGCACACCAAACTTGGAGAAGAGATGATTGAAGGGTGCGCTCGTGGAAAGTGTGATTCTAAGCAATGTAGATGACACTTTGGCTGTCACAATACAAAGTTTCTGGCTTGAGATGATCAACCTGAAAATCACAAAGCAAGTAAAGCAACTATTTAACCTCACAATTGGCTTACGCCAGTCGCCAGGGCATGATATTTAGCTTCACAGGAAAATCGAGAAACTGTCTTCTATTTCTTGCTTTTCCAGGAAATCAATGAATCACCAAGGAAAAATACAATAATTAGTGATAGAACATCGTGGATCAACACATGCTACTGATAACACCGAAAATGATGTTATTAATCCTTCATATTTAGTGGGTTTTTAGTCATTTCGTTGTCTTATTGGTCAATATATCATCAAATACATCCATTTTGTTCTTCGAAGAGAATATTATTATATTAGGATGATTTAAATAATATGAACGTTTTAGGTACGAAAAGGGGTCACAAGTGTAGCATTAGGTGCAAAATCACGAGATCACGATCGGGAGCAAGCAGATCAAGGCAATGAAGAGAGGGCGTGAACCAGAGCACGAAGATCGCAACCTCCATCTCGGCCACAAAGTCTTTAGCCCAGGGCGCGAACTTCAGGAGTAGCCACAAAAAGAGGATCAAGGACTTTCGATCGCAACTCCAATTATCTGACCCGCGATAAAGTTCACGGTCGTGACATCTCGGACCAGATCACGACTGAGATATCAAGCCGCGAACGCAACACCCAGGAAGGCATAAATCTTTGACCCTCCAGATTGCGACCTCTCCATCGAAGATCACAGCCGCGATCTTTGCCTACTCAACCGTGAACTTGCCCAACAGTCTAATCTCTATAAATAGGCGACTCCCCCCTTCATTTGAGATCTGAAATCACTTAAAAATATCTGGTTTTTTAGAGACAGAAGTTAGAGATAGAAGCTAACGAAATGAGAATAAGAGAAGGAGAAGCCAAGAAGCAAGGTAGCACTACGGGAAAAATGACATTTGCCAACACATGAAATGTGTTGTAAAAAGTGTCAAAAGTGGTGTATATGCATGTGATATGCAAAACTTTTAGTAGTGTCACCTATTGGTTGTGTTACATAAAGTAATAGATAACACCTTTTATACTTTTTATAACAAAAAAACAAAGCGTTGTGTATGTACACCCCATATGTATCATTATTTTATATACAACACTTCATAATATTTATACAACGCTATTTAACAAGCAATATCAACATTTATACACTATTCATGATAGGATTTGTCATCACGTAAAATATGTGCAATTGTGACAACTTTTTTGTAATAAATGCGAGACATTTGTGACTAGCTTGTTCTAACAAATACATTTAAGTGGTCACAAATACATAATTTTTAAGAATAATCTAACAAAAAAATTAGGGGTGGGCAACGAGAAACGCGTATTTGGGTATATGACTCGCTAAAACACAACACCAAACTACGATCAAGTGCAATAGTAGTATGGAAATGCAGTATAGTGGGACAAGTAATAAATGTCAACCCGGGGCCTAGATGTACTGCCTACTCTGGGAAAAGTTGATTGATAATGAATTTAAACTAAAACAGAAAGAAAGCAGCAGGTTGTTCGGTTTTCGAAAGCAAGAGAAGAGTCACTCGGGAATGAGTTCCCCTAGCTCCTTAATTAGGTCTAAGTTGTAATTTCTTTTGGTTGTTTTACTATTAATTAGACTGTGGAAGATCCGAAAATAGCTTGGACTCTCTTAAACTGACCAAGGCCTCTTAGATAGAATACCCGGCAGACGACTAGCCTTCAAATGACTCAATAAACATATCTCAATTGATTAAAATCATCAAGTATAACATTCAAAGGTCATTACAAACAAGATCCCTATTACATGGAACTAGGGTTCTGCATACCCAAGTGAGAGAGATGTTTACTCTGTAGAGAGAGAGAAGAAAAAAGAAATCAAAGCAGTCATACTCATAATTGTACGTGGGCACCGGACCGGGCCGCCCACGGGCTTGCACGGCACAACACGGTCAGAGACCGGCATGAGCATGGACACGAAATATATGGGCCAGCCCAACACGAGCATGAATTCTTTATGGGCCGTGTCGGACCTAAAATTCATGGGCACAGACACGAGCATGGGCATGACATGGTATGTAAATGGGTCGTGGCGGGCCTAATATTTTCAAAACCTTATTGAGTATAAGAACGGACATAACACAAAAAGAATATTAATTTGATAAAAAAATAAATATAAATAGAATAATAGGTTCAAATATTGCAAATATAAGTACAAAAATAATTATTTATTGTTGTTAGAAGTGATCATTAAGATATATACGTAATTACTACCATAATAATAAAACGGACGAAGAATTAAACAAAGTAGCTTCACACTCGTTATACTTTCAATTTTCTTCACCCCTTTGTTACATTTCTCAAACATTCTCATTTAATATTTTCATTCTTCGTTCAATTTTCTCCTTTTCCATTCCCTCTTTTATTTTATTCATTTTCGTTAAACACAAATATGAGCATGACATGAGCACGAGTAAGCACGACACCATTCAAACCGTTCCCGGGCCCGGGTCGGGCCTATCAACAAATGGGCTTGCACGACACGAAAACTGAAGGGCCGTGTCAAGCACGACACAAAATAAATGGGCCTAATGCGTGTCGTGCCGTGCCGGCCCAAACACGGCCCAACGCCCATGTACACTCATAATGATGAGTATAATCTGCTCTAGGATGTAATCTTCACTCATGGAGACACAATATGGGCTTCAATGGTGAGAAATCCATTCCAAATGGCTCCTAGGGTGTGTTCTTCGTCACTTTCTCTCTCTAGAACTCTGTTTTTTGCTCCAAAAAGTCGAATCCCCTTCCTTTGGCTCGAATCCGACTATTTACCCCGATATTGGGCAAAATACGAGCAAGAGCACGGTCGTGCTTTGCTTCTGACCGTGCTTTGACCAAACCACGTGTTTTACTTAAGCTGGGACAGGGAATTCCACGGTCGCGTTTTGGTAAAACACCGACAGTAATTTGAGAAGCACCGATAGTATTTTGAGAAGCACCGGCAGTGCTTTTATCTTCGCCTGCCCGTGCTTTGCTTTCCTTCAACATTCTTCAAGAGCCAGCCTCGCCTTTAAAAACACGAGCGAGTCGTTCGTGAAACACGGTAGTGCTTTAAGAAAGCTTGCCCGTAATTTGCACCTGAACCATCACCACACTCGACAAAATAAACACCAGCAATCATCATGTGAAGCACGGTAGTGCTTCAGGCAGGGGACGACAATGTTCTGTCTCTAGAACCGTCAAATGATCGCCAAACGACCCGAAACTTGCGCCTAAGCCTTCTTCTACCTACTAGGACCTTAAATGTGACAAAATAGCACAACCTAGTAAAATAGGCCAAGAAACCACAAATTCGAGCCGAAATGGTTAAGAAATAAGGTTGCAAACATGTGCAAATATGGCGCTATCAGTATACCCATACCCGCCCCATTTTTTGAAGGTTATGGGTACTCAAATATCCATAAAAAAAAATTGAGATTAGATTTGGGATTAAAATATTCTATAATGGGTACCTGCGAATTACCCGTTAATACTCATTTGTATACTATGGGTACCTGTACTACCTGCCATCCCCAGACGGAAAGGGAGGGATCAGTGTCCCCAACGCACAATAATTACTAACTAGTTTTTTGGTCTGCGCTTCGTTGCGTTAAGAAACTAATAATTTAGGTGAAATTAAAGAATTTACAAAATTATATGTGTAAAGTAATTCCACAATTTTACATAGTGTCTTATTATTTTGAATATTCCGTGTTTAATCACTATGAAAGACCTACATAATATATTTGTTTAATTGATACATAAAAGTCATTATTTTTCCATAAAAGTTATGTAAAGTATTAATCATTAGAGAAGACTCGTGTAATGATTTTTTTGTACTGATACATAACAAATCATATCCCTCTGCGAACTTTACGTGATGGATTGGTAATTTACATAACTGTTATAGAATGTTGTTACATAAATCTTTCGTAATGTGTGGTCTAATAATAAAATCTAAGTTATAAAACGTAACATTGATTAAATTGTTATGTCCAAGTTAACTAACCTTGCGCAACCTTTGCAAACTTGATTACATGGTGAATGTTTATATTTTAGTTAATAATGATTGAATTTTAGGTAATAATGAAGGAATTACGTGACAAAAATATCCCATTTGATTATATTGATGTGTAAAATAGCTTAACTTACAAATCCTTTGTGTAATGCAAATTGATGAGATGATCATCGGTTTAGTTAATAACAAAGAAATTCCCATTCAAACTTATATTTCGGGTAAATAATATGTTTGTTTATTTGATACATTTAAAAGTTATTATCTTTCCATAAGTTTTACATAGTATCTTAATTATTACGAAAGACTTATGTAATATCTTTATTTAGTTGATACATAAGAAATCACTATTCCTCTTAAAATTTACTAATATATTTGTAATTAATGTAACTGTTATATAATGTTGTTATATAAATCTTTAATAAAGTGTGGTCTAAGAACAATACCCCTTGGAATTTTTTTTTATACAAAACCTTTATATAATGCAAATAAAAATGAGCTTATGATGAGAAACTAATTATATATCAAATGTGAACTATTCATTTATGATTTAGTTAAAATAAAATAATTCAAAAATAGTAAAATACTTCTATAAGTTTACGTAGAATTATTTAACTAAATCATAAAATGAATAGTTATGTAAAAAGTTAATGGATCTTATAGAACCTTTGTGTAATACAAATTAATGAGAAATTTATACACCAAAAGATATATAAATTATGGTACTAGTGTTTTATGTGATTACAGAAAGAAATTTATACATCACATTAAATTTTATTTCAAGATATATATCACTAGATTAAAAATCATATACGTTTTGTATCCTTAACAAGACAAGATACATTCTATACAATGAAAATAACATACTAAATACACATAATAAAATGCACCAATATGTGGGAGGGGAAATAACATACTAATGACAGTGGTTCTTGTTGTTGACAACTGTTCGCTTAACTCTCACCACAATCCATAATCGTCACTAATAAGTCAACAAACAAAGAGTCATTTAGAAATTGAAGAAACACAAATCTAACACTAAATAATATACTAGCTTTTACACAACGTGTTGGTCGTCAAAACCGCTAGTGTAGGAAGCTTTTTTTAGTGTTTACAAGGTTTATTGCCATTGAGACGCAACAATGAGCTCATGTGACAAAATGCAGGAGGTGTGGTAGGTGAATGAGGCTTGGTTTGTTTTTAAACATCTACAGACTACAATCCCTCACATTTAGCAACAAAAAACATTTTTTTGAAAAGAAGATGAATGTGGATCTCCATGTGCCTAGGTGACATTGTCGAAGGAATTGCAAATATAACAAGTTTGTTAATTTAGCAAGCATACATGTCTAACAATTGATTGAAGTGTCACCAGAGTCTACCCTCAATCTCACTTTAACAATGGCTTAAAATTAACAATAATGGTTCCAATCCTTACCTTACAGCTAACAAGCCCAAAGTATTTTTCTTTTTGACAGCAACAAGCCCAAAGTAGAGCTTTTGAACTAAAAAATTCGCGTACTGGAATTCTGCAAGTCTCCATGGTGAAAGTAGAGCATCGAGTTTCGCCAATACAAGTCTGCAGCTATTGATAAGTGCGACTGAACTAGAATAAGACTTGTCCAACTCATAAGCCATGAGGTTTTCGTCTTTGCATATGGCCAAATTCTCCCGTTCGCTCTGTTCTTCTTCCTCTCAAAATCATTGGTCTCCTCAAAATCTATTCAAACAAGGGTTCACTCCCACTCTCCAATCCATCAATCAATTCCTTTACTTTCTGTTGAGTAGTCACAGGTTCGACTTAATCGCCCACTTCGTCTATCAAATGAGCCGGAACCGAGTCCAGGGCAACTCCCAAACTCATTCGATTTCGGCTTGGGCTCTCCTCAAACTCAACATGTTTGAAGAGGCAGAGCGTTTCATCAAGACCCACATGCCAAAGTCTTCAACTTTCTCCAAATATCCCATTTGGGATTGTCTGATTCTGGGGTTTAGTATCCATGGGAAGGACCCGGACAGGGCCTTCACACTGCTGCAAGATTCTTTGATGGATTACGGTGTGTTGCCCGCTTATTCTACTTTCCGTTCATTGATTCATAGTCTTAGTTCTCAGGGAAAGATCACTAGAGCCTTAGAGGTGTTGGAGTTGATGAATGATGACCGTGTGAATTACCCTTATGACAATTTTGTTTGTAGTTCAGTCATTTCTGGGTTTTGTAAGATAGGGAAGCCGGAACTTGCCATTGAGTTCTTCCATAATTCACTGACTGTTAAAGCTTTGAAGCCCAATCTGGTTACATACACTGCACTTGTTACTGCGCTTTGTGACTTAGGTAGAGTAAATGAGGTATCTGAATTGGTTTGTAGGATGAGGGAGGAAGGATTGGTATTGGATGTAGTTTTCTATAGTAACTGGATATCTGGGTGCCTCCGTGAAGGTATGTTAAAGGATGCGCTTCAGAAACATCATGATATGGTTAAAGAAGGAATTCTGTCTGATGCAGTTAGCTATACTATGCTCATAGATGGTCTATCTAAACAGGGGAGTGTCGAAAAAACAGTAGGATTTCTCCACAAGATGGTATACACTAAACTCAAACCTGGTCTGGTTACTTATAGTGCAATCATGTTGGGATTTTGCAGGAAGGGGAAAGTTGTGGAAGCCTTTACTGTATTTGAGTTGGTTAAGAATCTGGGGATTGAACTGGATGAATTCGTTTATGGGATTTTGGTTGATGGATTCTGTAGACAAGGAAATTTTAAGCTTGTTTCTGAACTGCTCAATGAAATGGAAACCACTGGTATACGTCCAAGTATTATCACCTACAATACATTGATCAATGGCTTATGCAATGCTGGAAGAACCTCAGATGCTGATGAACTATCAAAAGGTATATTGGGAGACATTGTGACCTACAGCACATTGTTACAAGGGTATGTTGAAGAAGATAATGTAGTACGGATTTTAGATACCATACAGAGATCAAAAGATGCTGGAATTAGCTTGGATATGATGATGTGTAACATACTACTCAAAGCACATTTTATGGTGGGTGCAATTGATGAAGCATATGCTCTTTATAAAGGAATGCAAAGAATGGGTTTGGTTGCAGATTCTGTTACTTACTGTACAATGATTGATGGGTATTTTAAAGTAGATCGAATTGATGAAGCACTTGAGACATTTGACGAATTTAGAAAAGGTCCAATTTCTTCAGTCGCCTGTTACAATTGTCTGATTAGTTGGCTATGCAAGAAGAACTTGGTTGAGATGGCAATGGACGCATTTTTGGAACTCATTGAGAAAAGCTCGACTCTGGATGCAGGTACATATATGATGCTACTCAAGGCCATTCTCAAAGAAGAAAGGTCAGACAGAGTTTTGAATATGATATATAGAATAGAGGAGCTTGGGCTAGACATATTTGGAAGGTTATGTGATTACACTATCAGTTTATTGTGCAAAAGGAATTCTGTCATGTTAGCAAGTGAGGTTTACATAGCAGCAAGGAGGAATAACTCAACTTTGACTAGCAAATCTTACTACTTCCTCCTAAGAAAACTAATTGTTAGCGGAAATTCTCGATTAACCAGGCCCATACTAAGTTCTTTTGTAAAGCAATATGGTCTCGTTGAACTTAAAGTAAATAAGATACTACTGCATTTTCTCTGCCAAAAGGATATTGAAACTGCAGTTTATTTTTTCAGCAAACTGAAGGAGAAAAATCTGAAAGTTGACTTTCCGTTGAGTGCTTTAAAAGCATTGACTAAAAATGGTGGAGTTTTGGCTGCCTATGAACTGATCATGGGACCTAATGATAATGTACAAGGTATGGATGTGGTTGATTATTCACTAGTTGTTGATGGCCTTATCAAGGAAGGGCACCATATTAAGGCCTTGGATATCTGTGATATTGCTGAAAGTAAGCAGATTTCTCTGAACATAATTACATACAATTCTCTTATAAATGGATTGTGCCACCAAGGGTGTCTTGTTGAAGCATTTCGCTTATTTGATTCATTAGAAAGAATGAATTTGCATCCTTCTGAAGTGACATATTCAACACTCATTGACAATCTGTGTAGAGAAGGATATTTGATGGATGCCAAACAGTTAGTTGACAAGATGGTTGTCAATGGCTACAGAATCAGTACTCATGTCTATAATTCACTTGTTAACTGTTATTGCAAGACTGGTCAGATTGGGGAAGCCTTGAAGATTTTGAGTAACATGGATACAGAACGGCTTAAACCCGATGAATTTACCGTTAGTGTTGTGATTAATGGTTATTGTCAGAGTGGGAACATGGAGCAGGCTCTTGGGTTTTTTTCTGAGTGTCAGTCAAAAGGTACATCGCCTGATTTCTTAGGCTATCTGCTTTTGATAAGGGGTCTATGTACCAAGGGGAGGATGGAAGAGGCCAGAAGCATCTTAAGAGAGATGCTGAAGTCACAATCTGTACTGCAGTTGTTGAGCAGTGTCGATAATTTGTCTCAAACAGAATCGGTGGACGGTTTTCTTGCATCCTTGTGTGACCAGGGAAGTATCAAAGAAGCGGTTATGGTACTTGATGAAGTTAGTGCTTTAATTTTTCCACATAGGAGAAAGTATGGTCTTGGTCATGAGTTGGAGGAACAAGCTGTCCGCCAAGAAAGAACTAATGTGGAGGTTCCACCTTGTGAGATGATGGAAGTGGGCATGTGTTTGGAGAATTCTGGCATTATCAAGGAAGGATCTCAATCCAATTTATTTGATTCATGTTCTTCCTTAATTGTATCTCTCTGCTCAAAAGGTGATCTTGGTGAGGCTAATAGATTAGCAAAGGAGATGCTGGCTAATTTTGATAGAAACTGAAACAACGTATTATCACCACCTTGGAGCTTTATTCTTTATATGCAGAGGAACCGCATTTGTACTTCCAGGTAATAAATATTTTGCGCTTCTCTGGTGTGTTGCATACTAGAGCAGCTGAATTGTTTTTTGTCAGATCACTGATTTTTCTCTTCATGAACAGATTTTTCTTGAAGCCAAATCCGATATTGGGGATGCTTTGTGGACAGTTTGTACTGACATTGAAATCCATGAGGACAACACGAATATCGGAAAGCATTCTATGCAGTGGAAGGTGCACTGCACTAAAGGTCTTTCACATGGTACAGCCTAAGTTGGGTTGTGTACTGAGTGGCATGCCTTCTGCCAAAATATTAGAGGTGTGTGAACTTTCTACCCTGTCATTTGCTTGTAACGTTCTGCCTGGGACACTACTGTCCAAGATATGTCTACAATTCACATGGTATTGTAGCTAAACTTATTTCGGATGGCATCTAAATTGTGAAACGTATTGTCAGATTCAAAATTTACTTGTATCATACAAACCCTTCACTTTGTCGTAGACTTTATGAGTCAAGCGTTTTATGTTCCATTGTTTCGACTTTCGAGTGACACATGACGTGGCAGTGGGATCTTGTGTTGGGCAGGCGGATTGTATGCTTCTTCATGACCTGAATGGCGGACTCTTGTAAAAGGGTACTTACCTGCTTGGCGCCCTTTGTGGATCAGCATGCTGACTACCATTGATAGGTGTAGCAGTTGTTTTTCCAAGGTTTCAAGATCTGGGTATGAAACTGTAAGATATCTAAACTCAGTCACTTTCGTAAGTGATTTTTTTTTGTAAGTCTAGTGTAAAAAGATTGCATTCTTAACTTAACATGACCTGGCCTGTAAATTTTATGACTTTTGTCACATGCACTATTTTCTGTAGGTGAATTGAAGAACGTGCAGTAATTAAAATGGGAGCACCTCTACTTATTTGAAGATCTTGGAGGTCGTTTGGATCATGGATTTGGATCACAAATCTAACCCTAGTGAGAATTGACCAAATCCGTGAACCCCAGGTATTTGGAATCCCACATAATTTGGTGAGATTTGAGAGAAGGGACCAAATCCTTGATGCTAAATAAACCAATCCTTTCATAAATCTGACATTCATACATCAATTTTCTCAAATCCCAAATGAAACCAAATCCATCATCAATCCTTAGATTCATGGAAACAGGACAGTAAGTGCAGACGGACCTAACCTCTTCTTTTTGGTTGAATAAGTTTTTCGAAATCAAACACTAACAGTAGTTGGACATATTTTAACAGGCTAAGTCTCAGGTCATATGCACTGCTCTGCAATTCTGGAGATGTAAATTAACTGTACTGCAGCATACCCAGCCACGAAGGATGCTGTAAAAACTTCAAGCCCTTTTGCCATGAGATTGTGAGGTTTACGTAAAGCTACGTGCAGCAAAAGATTTTGGTTGTTGCAGTTGACATAATTCATACCCCCGTATCAACTGGTATGCATCAGATTATGCAAGCTCAAGCTTATTGTCTTATATGGTTACACCCTCCACCTTGCTTTCTATTCTGACAAATAACTGCCAGGATTGCCAATACCGTGTGCAAAATTGGTTTACCCTCTTTATGTAAGAAAAAATGGTTGTTGCTTAAGTTTGCTTGGTGGAAGTATAGTGGCACATTTTCGTTTTGCTAAGAGTTAAGTTATTTACGTCAATGCTAATCGACATTCTATCAAATCTTAAGAATAGGGTTCAAGTGCAAGAAAACAAGTTCCTTCGCGAAGGCATATTTGCATCAAGGTGCATGGAGCTCTGGAAGGATTGTACTCATTATACTGGAGCCATGTCAAACTCCGCCAAGAAAAAGAAACAATAAACTTGGAAGTGGCCAGGAATCTGAGGAATAGCGCATGGAGATTGGAGAATACTTGTCAGTCAGAAGCTGAGAGTTATGGTCACTGTTACAGTGCAGGAAGAATGGCTTCTGCAGCTTCCTTACGACAGCACTGATGAGTTGAGGGACTGCTCTTGATTCTCTTCGTCATCTGTATGCCTCCTCCTTTGCACTATGCTTTCTTCTCCTGTCTGTTTATTTTCTTGAACAGCCATATCTTCAATGGAATAAAGTTGCCCAAATTAACTTCATTGATTGATGTTAACTGTCTTCAATTCTCCCGTGAACGATGTGATTGATAAAGATAATCTATTGAATATTGATCACCATAGAGAGTTGCTTACTTTTACATGTAGGATGCATATCTGTTTCATTCGCCCTGTCTTCCTTTTCAAGTACTTTCAGAACTCACCACTACTACAATTAGCTGTCATGGATCACTATGATCCTGATTCCTGGGACGGCAATAGCATCATCAGATGTTAAAGATTTCATGGTACTGCAGAATATGTTCGGTAATGCATTATTCGTTGATAATGTTTGCCCTTGTGTCGTTCCAGCAACTCATCTACCATTTGTTCTCCTTGATCGCTAGCCAATTGTAACCAAGCGCTGACAGATCTGTAAATTCGGTTCCGAAGTTGACTTGCAACTTCCCTGTATGGTTTCCTCTTGAATCAATCATCTGAATCCGTGTTGAATCGCGCTTTTCCTACACTTGTGACCTCATATGATTTTACATGTTAAAATCCCTATCAAATAGGCATCAATCTTAGTGCCTTGTAGATAGGGAGCCGTGGTTTCTTTTACCGATACTAAGTTTGTAGACAGGCATTCTCCCACTGACCAAAGAAGAAAGACTGCCATTGAGAATAAGTTCATATATCCCAACAATGTCGTTCATCAACAAAACAAGAACAAGAACAAGAACAAAAACAACATTGTGAATAGTTAAGGAAAGATTGCTAAGCTTACACACTCTAACAACCATCTCCAATATTTAGAATTCATGCAGTATTACTTCCGCCAGAGTATCACAAACCTAACTTCTAAAACTGGGAAGTTCCCTTTCCTCCAGGCTCACTCAACATCAGTTTTCATGCAAAGCTTTCATCAAGTAAAGTCTGCTGAAGTTTTGCCCAGCAACCCTGCAAAGTGGAGTGGAGATTAGTGAGAAAAACAGATCAACTAGAAGAAGGATATTAACCTCTTCAGGATCACCAAAACGAAATACAAATCAGTTAAGGACCAAGTCAATATCTCACGAAAGGTGGGACATTGAATAGCTTATGCGGAGATCACAAAGAGTTTGAATACTACACAATGGCATAAATTGAAAGATATCAAATTGACGATTATGGTTCTGACGTACCCATTGATTTGGTTGCAGAAATTTGAAATTTGATTGGTTATGAGAAAGCTATCCAACCGAGACGGCTCAGGAATTGGCTTAAAGATTGGGTTCGATGGATCTTCCTCGGGTAAAGGCTCATCACCAGCAGCCTTGCGTGCCATGTTCTCAGCCCTACACAAAAACAAAAACATCCAGTGAAGTTAACTTTGTGAAAAGGGGGAAAAACTATAATCCAAGGATACATCAAATGACAAAGCTCAGAACAAAAAATGAACTACAATAATAAGCACTTATGCTGGCAGATGACGAAATGACTTGAGCTGAAAATCCATTGGAGTCAATGACACTTGCAACTCTATTAAGTTCCAATCATATTGCATAACCTTTCTATCTCACGTGTACTCTTTTAATCAATATGTAGTCAGGAAATTACCCAAATACAATAATACTTCCATGCAAATGATACAGGAAAATATGAAGAGCACCACAGCAACTCCTCAGGGGACAATTCATGAGTAGAGCAACAACTAACCTCCTCTTTTGGAGCCATGTTTGTTGCTGAGATTGCTGGCGTGATAGGTTTCTATGGTAGAATTGGAACTATGGAAGGGAAGAAAGAAAACAAGAGCTTATTAATTATCAGAACAGACAAATCTGAAACATTGACAGAATAAATTTGTTGTAAAAAAAAGACAGAATAAATGGCATACCTTCTGCTGTTCCATTGATAAATCGTCCATGCATTCAATCAAAAATTCAGCACTCCTCTCCAAAAAGGGATTGGTTGACAGTTGCAAACGGTCATAGTCACACTAATAGAGAAAAGAATATAACAAAATTAGAAAATCCAAAAAAGCAAACATCATGGTTGTTATACAGGTTGATATCAAATACACACAACCTTACCTGGGTAACAGGAGTATCATCTTCCAAGCCAGTCATAAAGGCACTGATAAGTGCAGAATTTGAGACTTTGATCTATAATTTCAAAAAACAAGTATAAAAACAGAGGAATTGCAACCCTGTTGAGCTGGTCAAAATGAACTTATTGAATAAATGAATGGCCACATATTTCCAGCTCAGAGTAAAACCAGAGCTTCAGACACTTACAGGGATTTCTTCAAAAATATCCACCCATGACAAGTTTTTCTCCCTCAACCTATTGCACAACAAATGATTTTTCTATGCTTAGATTAAATGGTTTAAACAATAAGCTATCATTCCAGCGGAAATTTTCTTACTTCTCTCCAGTGAAGTTGTTAGTTTTGTATAGCTCCATGAAAGAATCAGAGAGCTTCAGAGCCTTGAATGCCAGAACACCCTGGCTTGATCTTGATGGATCATAAATGATACAAACACACCGTCTAATGTTTTCCTGCAATTGAGAAAAACATTGTATGACCATTGATACTTGGGAAATTAAACTGATATATGTGAAAGAAACCTTGAGTAGGGAACCTGATAGTTCATAAATGTTTCGATTAATTCAACTGTTTGGAAAGACCCCATCAGCGTTGACTGGTACCTGAAATGGTCACAGAAGAATGTAAGAAACTGGATGCACATATATTAATATTCACACAGAAATGCACATATATTGTTAGCAAGAGTTGGTTAGGGTTAGGGCTATAAGTATAACAGATGTTGAGACACAATGTTCTTATCATGCATTATCCTTCCCAACTAAAGGAAGATCAAGGCTACCTTCTTGATCTGGAATCTAAGAAAACAATGCAAAATAGTCTGATCCAAAAACTATCCAGTGACATAGTAGCATCAGATGAACATTGTGCATTGGAACAACAAAGGAGAGAGACATAAAATCTTTCTAGCAAACAGCAAGGTTATCAAAAATACAAACAATTGAAAATCAGAAGAATCAAAAAGACAAATCATTCTTCACAACTAAGCTAGTTGACATACAAGAAGACTAAGAATGAAACTAACCATCCAACTGTGTTGTTGTCAACGTTAACCTCTCTTAAGCATCTCATCATCTCAAGCTGGTAATTGGCACCATCTGCCTCGACCTCTTCATCTTCCTCTCTGATCTGAAAATAAAGTGCGAAAATTAGGAGAGAGTTGCTATCAAGGAAACACAAGGCAAGCATAGCAAAATCCAATAACTTTTCCCATTAACCCCAGCAGCTATGAGCATGCTCCAGCCTTACCGGGAAGGGGAAACAATTGGTTACTTCAAGAACGCTACCAACATCCAGACCGAGAAGTTGGCCAGTGACTAGAGCTGGAGAAAACTCCTTGCAATGTTTGATAATCTTCAACATAACCTAAATCACCAAACGGTTCATCGAACAAAAAAACAACATTCATCACCAAACCCTAGAAATCGAATTCCGACTCTGCAAAAGAATTAAGAGCTCACGAGGTATAAAAGAAAACTCACCAATCCTTCGATCTGAACGACACGCAGAGGAGTGGCGACCTCCTCAGTTGCCGCTACCTGAAGGAACGACCTCGCTATTGGTGCTGCAGCCATGATTTCAAACTGCTCTCGCCAAAGGAAAAACGCTCAGAAACAAATTCAGAGAAACAATCTTTCTCCATGAAAAGACACAATGAAAAAAATCCAGGAAAGACAGGAATATAGAGACCAGAACTTGAGCTGACAAAACCACCATATGTGTGTTAAAGAGACTGTACCTGAATGAGAATCTAAGCACGATGCGGAAACCAGAGAAGAGCTCCTTCCAAACGCTGAATTAGAGACGGCGGCGCACTTCCTAACGAGGGAATGAATGGAAGAGAAAGGGCGGAAGGAGGGCTTATGAGATATTGGACTAGCAAAAGACCGATAGAACCCTGTCTCTCTCTCCGGGTCAATATGGTTTTACTTTTGGGCTTTTGGCCCATATACGAAGGCAAAGCGCCGTCGTTCCCAAGGTAGGGACCGGTAAGTATTTACGAATTACAGGTAGTTTGTTTCATGTGTCAATTAAGAAATGCAATAGACTAGGTTGGGTCCGAGTGTTTATAGATACTCATGTGTTATGTGATAAAAAATGCACAATAACAAGTTCCTACCAAAATAAAAGTCTAACATCATTCTTCTCATATAAATTATCTAAACAAAAAATACCAATGTAAAGCATACAAGCAAATCACAAAGTATTCATACAAATTGTTCAACATTAAAGATAAACATTCATAAACAACATGATTAATTGAAAGCTTCATCCTCCTTCTTAACTAAACTTTTTCACTCTCCACTTCATAATATCAACTTCATTCTAGACAAGTAGGAAAAACAAATTAGGCATGTCTTCACAAACATAAGGAAGATTAGTTGCTTAAGGAAGATTAGTATGGGGAATGACCAATGGGAAGTGGATAAGGGATTCGTGGTTGAGGACGGGTACTGGCTGGAGCGAATTGGATATAGCTAAACCCAACCCAACCGCAAAATAGTAAACGGGTTTAAACCCAAATCTGACCCATAATCCATCAATACGAGTTTTATCCGCGTTGACCGAGTTGGGCGGGGTAGGGCACTCGTGGGTTCAGGTTATGTTTCCATCCCTAGTATCAAGGATTTGGTACCAAAAATCAAACCATCAAGGATTTGGTCATAATCCTTTGTTTGCTTGGCCAAAAAATTTGGAGACAAATTTGTGCGGCCCACGAATTTAGGTTTCATTTTGGCTCCAAATCCATGGCCCACGGATTTACAAATCCCACATAATAACTTGGGATTTGGCTAATGGTAGTTTGTTTGAAGGCTCGTGCAAATTTGAAAAGGTAAGAATTATCCTGAATTTCCATGTTTTACAAAACTAAGGAATTGACTCGTGGAAATTGAACGAAATTTCACGTTTGGATAGGGTTTAATTTTGTGAGAATTGATGGTGAGGAATTTGGTGAAAATAAAAAAAAATGCCCTTTTTTGTTTATATACATACCTCTCCTAAGGTTGTTGTTGTGTTCTGCTAACTACTAATTGCTGCTAACTTAAGTACTAACTGATGTTATCTAACTATTAATTGCCGCTACTAATTAATAATATTGCTAATTATCAATTAGTGTGTCTAGAAGTTCAACATAATAAAAGTTTTAACAACCTAATTATAGCTACTGCTAACTACAACCGGAACAAAGTTCGACGGAACAACCTAAAAGCAATGACAATCAAGGAAGAGGTATGACAGTTACATGCTTGAATTGGGCTACAACATAAGTCCTTATGATTATTGTTTATATCACAACAAGGCACAAGATGGTTTGATGATATATTTGGTTATGTATGTGGAGGATGTGCTCATAACTATGAGGTCGAAGTCTGATATCCAAACATTAAAGGGGCTTTTCAATGGTGAGTTTGAGATGAGGAATTTGGAAACTGCTCAGAAGATTTTGGGTATGGAGATTTACAGGGATAGAGAGAAGAAGAACTCTTCTTGTCACAGAAGAGCTACATCCAGAAGATATTGTCCAGTTTTGGCATGTCTTCAGCAAAACCCTTGAATACTCCTAGTGCATCATTTGTTCATCTATCCTGAGTTTATGCACGACAACTAGAGGCTGAGAAGGAGTACATGTTGAGAGTCCATATGCTAGTGCAGTAGGTAGTTTGATGTACGTTATGCTCTGCACTAGACTTAATTTTGCACATGGTGTTAGTGTTGTCAGCAGTTCATGATACAACCTGGGAAGAAACATTGGCAGGTAGTGAAAAGGATCTTTCGGTACCTGAATGGTACGTATGATGTAGGGATTAGCTTCAGAAGTGATACAGAGTGCTTAGTATCTGGCTATTCAAATTTTGACTATGTTGGAGATGTTGGAGATGTTGACATGAGGAGATCGATGACTGGTTATGTATTCACTCTTGAGAGTTATGTGGTGAGCTGGAAAGCAACTATGCAATCGAGAGTGACATTGTCTACTACTGAAGCAGAGTACATGGCATTGATAGAAGCTTCTAAGGAAGGAATATGGTTGAAGGGGCTGGTTGGTGATCTGGGTCTACATCATGATCAGGTAGTGGTTATTGTGATAGTTCAAGTCCAATATGTCTGGCCAAGGATCAAGTACATCGTGAGAGGACTAAGCACATCGATGTGAGGTATCATTTTTTGAGGACAGAGAAGAGGATTAAGGTGAAGAAGATTGGCACCACGGACAATCATGTTTACATGTTCACAAAGTCGGTTCCACATGGCTAGTTTCAACATTGCTTAGGGGCATTAATAGTGGGAGAGAGAGAAGGATATGAGTACATAAGAGATTTTAGAGGAAGAGGATTCAAGTTAAGGTGAAGATTTGTTGATGTGACTTGAATCGAACAATCTGTCTATGACTATAAGTCACATGGGTCTTGCTGTATGGGCCGATACACGTTTAGGTTGTTGTTCTGGGCCTGGTTTGTAACCAATTTCCTTTATCATATTCGATTAGGGTTAGACCACATGGAAAATTCTCATCAGCCTTCAAGAAGGCGCGCCTAGGCTCAATTAGGCGCTAGGCGGTGGAGGATCGCCTTGACTTTGCCATATGCGTTCTAAAAGGCGCTGGTAGCGCTTAATAGGTATGAATAACGCCTAATAGGCGCCTAGTTGGAGAGAAGGTGTTCCAAGGCGAGCTTAAGCGGTCAAGCCTAATATGTTTCGTTTTGGCCTTTTGGGTCCTCTCTATTCCTCTAACGTGAATTGTTACTTGCCACTTTCCCTAGAGAATCAGAAACACGCGAAGTCGGGAACATAGGGAGGATAAATGAGAAGTCGGTACTCTACTCTCGCCCCATCTGCTGCTGCTCCACTATCGCCGCTCCGCCGCAGCAGGAGAAAGTTGTCAATCGAGCTTTCTATCGCCCGCTGCTCCTCCCGTCTGTCCACTCCGCCATCACAGGGAGAATCACCCGGTGAACCCCGTCGAGTGCTACTCTCGCCTTCGCACTGCTCTGCCGCTATAGTGGGAAATCGTCACTCGAAACTCGTTAGTTACTGCTCCTTCCTTCTCCTAGGTCCGTCGCACAAGCTTCTTGCCTCTGTAAGTACTACTTAGAAGATTATTGGTTTTTGTTTCCGATACTGGAAGATGATTCATCGCCCTTTTAGATTTGTTGAGTTGCGTCCCTTGTTCCTGAATTGCAAACCAATCCAAGTTGTGTCCTTGCCTCGGTTGACTGATTGTGTCCCCTGTTTCAATTAATTTTGTTTTTTATAATGGGGCGGAGCGGTGCGAAGGCGAGAAGTATCCCTCTATAATTCATCTCCCTTTTTGATAATGATTCATCACTTTACACTTCCTATGAGGGTGATTGAGTATTATTTACACTTACTGTGTCGTTAAGTTCCTTTTAAGCTTTTACCTATTTGTTAAGTTTGATTCTTTAGGTATATATGTATATGGTTGTTTATGCAAAGAGTGATGAACCATTATATATAGATCAATATATGTATTTAATTTGAATGATCTCTTTTCTCATAGGACAGGTTGTGATTCTACACTTTTATCTGTAGAATGGAAGATGCATGTGGATCAGCGAGAGGAGTGTAAAATATAGAGAATGTCAATATTTTTAAGAGGAAGTCTGGTGATATAGTCTAGCAATATGGAAGATTGGTGGATCCCAACAATAAGGAGAAAGTGCAGTGCAATTTTTGTGGTCAATCATCCCGGCGACGCTACCCTCATTCACGGTTGCCGTCATCAGGAGGGCCGATGTTCATTTCGCATTCCAACTCCGTCTCTGCAGCCGTCGGTGCCATCAGCACCCTCGACATCATCCTACCGATTTTGTGTTTGGCTGGAGTTTCTTTATCATTTAAAATCCATCATGCAGCTGGTTTGACATCACCAGTCAATTCCACAGGGTCGTCTGCTTGTCGTTCTGCCTTGGAGCTTGGTTTCTTATCGACGGATACTACTGAAGTTTACATGCCATTTGGTGTTGATGCCATCATCAATCATCAAAGCTGGGTTTTTGTCATTTTGTTGGAGTTTTGTCACAAGCGTCCATTTACTTGATCCATCATCTAGTTGTCTTTTAGTGGTGTCACCATATATCTCTCTAGTAGGGATTTGTTTTTAGGTGAGGTTCTTTAAGTTTGAGGTCTTGGAGGATGCACTATTTTGAGTTGGCGGTCGCTATAAAGATGGTTTTGAAGTCATCGTCAGTTCAAAGAAGGTGTCCCAATGTTTGGTCAAGCAAAATTCTCACCAACATTCATCAAGTCATAACGATAGAGATGCTCTCGACCCAATCGTAGGTCGTCCCTTCATTAGTCGGTGTTGGAGATAAATGAAAACTTTCTTAAGTTATGAAGCGAGAAAGTCACGATTCAAGAAGCGATCGTCCCCTCGACGTTCATAATCAGGTAATTTTCAGTTTTCACCATTTTAACTTTCAAGTTGGGCATTCACGTCGTTCATGCTCCAGCTTGAGGGAGAGAATAGGGAGTCAACATATGTCGATCGCCTAGCTCAGTCATCAAGTCGACCGCAATGTACCAGCGTGAGTTCACGTCGTTCAAGAGACGCAGTCAACCATCTCCACCATATCATTTAGATAGACGCAGTCAACCGTCTCCGTCTAGTCGTTCAAGAAGACGCAGTCAACCGTCTCCATCATGTCGTTCGGATAGTCAACCGTCTCTGTCAGACCGTCACGACGGTCAAGAAGACGCAGTCAATCATCTTCATTAGGTTGTTGATAGAGAAAGAGTCAGTCATCTCCTAGTCAACCTCGTCCAATATTTCATTCATCTTGTGTTTTGTTGTACAAACTTGCCATGCTTGTTCTTCACATTTCCTTTTTCAAGCTCGACATTCTTGTCATTCATGTCTTCGCTTGAGGGGGAGTGCTGTAGTTATTTAAACCGTGTGAGTTTTGGGTCTTGTTGGGCCTTGTCCGAGTTGTAGTAGGTATGGATAATTGGTCGTACTCAGCTCTTCTCGTTATGGTTTTAACCTTAAGTCTTTCTCTATATAAGGCTTAGCTACGGTCATCGTGGATTAGTCCTGTTCACGTCGAACAGGGATACCCCGTAAACATCTTATGTCTCTTGTTCTTTTCAATTCCACATCATCAAATTATACAATTTAGCTTATGGTGGAGTGAACTCTCGCAACGACACTCAGAAGGATGCAGTCCGTTTTACTCGCGTATGTTGGTCAAGCGAAACTAGTTAGATTAATTTAATCTAATTCATTTAAGTAAGTACTTTACTCATGCCTTTTATTGAAATTGTGGTTATTTTTTGAAGTCATTTCTTTCAAATTAGAGTAAGTCATTACCAATTTTACTTTGTAGTGGTAAGGAATTTTGCAAAACAAAAGTCAACTTTGTCATCCTACCAAAACTTTGTCATCCTAAACTTCGTAGTTATCCTTTTTCCAAGACCGATCTACTCTCACTCCAATCACTCTAGTTTCTTCTTCTCCTTCTCCTTCTCCTTCTCCTTCTCCTTCTCCTTCTCTTTCTCGGGGACTCTGCCTCTAGTTCCTCTGCTTTGCGCTGCACGGCGGCCAAAAGGGAAGAGAGAAAAGGGGGAAGATGATCATCAAAAGTACAGCTGATCTCGTGAAAGACGAGCTCCCAATCAAGCAGGAAGCGATGGTGATTCCAGAGGACGGAGGAGCTGTCTCCGGTCTGGTACTTGTGGACATCATCAACTGATTCTGCACCGTTGGAGCCGGGAATTTGGTGAACAATCTCTTTCTCTTAATACATAGATAAGTGAAAATATTCTGGGCAAGTGTTTAATAAAGAGAATAATTTTGATTACTCTACCCTGTTTTTTGAAGGCTCCAACAAAGCCGAATACGCAGATCACCGAAATGATTAAGGAATCGGAGAGGATGGCAAGGTCATTCTGTGAGAAGAACCTCCCTGTCATGGTTTTCCTTGATTCCCATCACCCTGGAAAGCCTGAAAACCCATACCCTCCTCACTATCTTGTGGGCACCCCTGAATCCAACTTGGTTCCCGGTACAAATTAAACAAATTAGTATTGTTCTTCCCCAATCGATGTCTCTTTGCTGCAACTTCTCTGCCTGAAAGTATGGATCTTTCTTTCGCTGCAGCTTTAGAGTGGCTTGAGAAGGAACCAAACGTGACAATCAGAAGGAAGGACTGCTTCGATGGGTTCTTGGGATCGATACAGGAAGATGGGTCCAACGTTTTTGTCGACTGGGTTGCCAAGAATGCCATCACAACTGTAAAAAAAATTATCGATCTTTCACCTCTATGAATAGATATAGAATAGTATCCGCTAATCGAACCAATTCGTTTGAGCCGTTAGTCTCATTACTGTTGCTATTCACGAATGAAATGCTACACAGCTAGTGGTGGCTGGGGTGTGCACAGACATATGCGTGCTGGACTTCGTCTGCTCGACGCTATCAGCCAGAAACCTGGGATTTCTGAAACCTCTGGAGAATGTGGTAGTGTGTTCGAATGCCTGTGCTACGTTTGATGTCCCTCTCCATGCTTCAAAGAGGGCCAAGGGTGCTATGGCTCATCCCCAGGTAACTTTTTACGCCCATTTTTTAGCCGATCTCTTCAGTAGAACCTAATATTGTACGATGTTCAATGAGACCATGACGACTATATATGTGTGTGGGCAGGAGCTTATGCACCATGTAGGGCTATACATGGCGAAGGAAAGAGGTGCCGTCATAGCAAGTGAGGTGAGGTTTGCATCCAACAATAATATGGGACGACTCGATGTGTGAACCCTTACCTACTTGATACGTGGAGTGGAGTTGTCTCTCCATATAGATGGGAGTTCATGCTCTGTTTCATACAGCTGAAGTTTGGTTTCCGGCAGTCCTAGTAGATATTGTCCCTACTAGAAGTATTTTGATCGAACTTTACTTTCCAATGGCGCACCGTTGTTATACGACTACTACTGCTACCTAGTTGGCCACTCTACATGGCGAAACGATATTTTTCCATGATGGAATGTAAACTTAAGTACTTATGTTAAGTGAATTTTATATATTTCATGCAACTTACTTGGATATATATGTGTCCAGTAAATAAACCGTTGTTATACTACTGTTACTTAGTTCTGCCACGTGAAAAGAAAAAAAAAATCTATAAATTATTAAAATTTCAAGCAAATAAACTGAAACAAAAAGCATTAAAATACATAGAAGTTGTTGCTTGAATTTTGATGAGGTGCAGTTTATTTCGACATAAGCTTGTCTACCGTACGCCTGTTGAGTTTTGCGATTTAGACAATGAATTGATTGGAGTTTGGGGCATGATATTATACCCTAACGTGTCAATCCCAATCCCCAATTCACTAACATAAACCATAAGATTCATTTAATCTTGAAATGAAAATCAACGATGCTGATTCATTGAAATTATCGTTGATTATTAAACGAATTTTTCAATTTGGGTTAGAAAATTAGGAACTGGGGTTCACCCATTAGAGGTTAGGGTATAGTATCATGCCCCAAACTCCGATTAATTCATGATCTAAATACTAAAACTCAATGGGGCATACGGCAGGTCAGCGTACGCTCGGGCATACGCTAGCCTGAACCATATATATATATAGTAAATTTCATAAACATTTTTCGAGATAAGTTAAATAGGTTATTCATTATAAGCTAACAAATTTGTAATATTTTGTACTTTTAAATTGTACACATGAAAAGAAACAGGGTGAACCATAGCTTGTGGTAAATCTACGTCTAAAATTTAAGTTGAAGAATGCATTAGACTAGCGAGACTATATAAAAAGAATATTGTAAAATATCCTAATTTCCTCCAAATATCTGAACACTTAGAAAGTAGTTGTGACATGAATTCGGTAGAGTATCTACAGGTTGCACAAATCAAAATCCACACCTAACCTAAAAAAGTGAGCTCTACAAAAGAAACCATCACACAACCTTAACCTTAATTTAAGCAGTAAATAACGGTACATAAACCAATCTAAATATAATGGGGATTTAACAACTTATGAATGGCATCTAAAACTCAACATCCCAAACACTTTCTAATGTCAAAAGTAAAGCTTGCAAAACATACATACGATAAACCAAACTACGACACCATGTAACAAATAGAGAAACCCAATCCTTCAAATCAAAGTGCGGCGGCCATGACTTCATCCACTAGCGCCACGTATAGCTCCTCTGGAAACTTTTAAGACCAGCACCAGCAGCACATCGGTTTTTATAGTCATTTGGCAAAGGAATGAGATTGTCGATGCATGTCCAGAAGCAGAAAGGCACCATAGAACCATCGTTCCTAACAACGAAGTAGGCCGGATAGCTCCCCACTGTGGGCATCCGAATATGTACTGATTGGAGACCCCCTCCCGAACCAACCTTCTTCTCCCACTCTGGATCGCCCTTCTTCAGCAAAGCCAACACTACCGTTTGAATAACCTACATACACAAAACCAAAAAAAATAATCCAGTTGAGTCTTCAAAGCAAGAAAGAAAGCCATAAAACTGATTGATGGCTCCAAAATGTAGAACATGCAATAAAGGCAGGGATAGGAAAATATCATAGAGCAAATACCGGGTCGGTGATAGGAGATTCATATGGACAAAGTTGATTCAAACTTCCGAAATATGAAAACATTTGTGTGGAACTCTGAAATTTCAGCCAACCCAAGGTGACACCACCTTCCCCATCTTCTTCATGATGACAGCTACAAGGACCAACGCATTGTTCTTTAAATTTCTCTGTCAAGGGAAAGATATGATCAACACATTTGATGAAGCAGAAATCCTCCATAGAACCATCTCCCCTAACAAAGTAGAAGCTTCGCAGATCACTATCGTATGCTGGATGGATTCGAACTTGAAATGATTCGACGCCAGAAGAACCAATCTTTTTTTCCGACTCTGGATCACCCTTCTTCAATAACTCCAGTAATATCAGGTGGGCATGCTTCTACAATCACACCCACAAGCAATAAATGACATGCAATCTATGTTTAAATACAGATCAAAACAAAAGTAATGGGCATGAATGAATAAACGCATTACCTCGACGAGAGTCTGATTAAGTGGGGACCTCATAAGCAACGAGTAAAAGTATCTATACATATGCGTGGAGTAATAGAATTTCTTCGAACCCAAGATGACGGTGTTGAGCCTTCCCATCCTCTCCTCCTCATCTAGCCTAGCATTTTGTTCTCGTGTAAGCCTTTCAAGTTCCTCTGCCACTCTATCAGCACGCAAACGACCCATGCCTCCTTCTATATGACATGCACAAACAGCAACAACACCACCACCTTAATCTTTCAAATCCTCGGGTAATGGAAGGATGTTGTTTACACAGGTCCCGAAGCAGAAATCTGCGGTCGAATCATCTTTCCTAACGATAAAGAAGGTGCGGAAGTGGCTGCACATCGTGTCATTTCGGACTCGAAATGAATCGACCCCACAACCAATCATTTTATGTGGCTCGGGATGACCCTTCTTCACCAAGTCCAGCAAGCTCGGCACGATCCTCTGCCAAAAGAATGTGCAAGCAAGCAAGCAACTGAATCAGATAACTGTAGACAAGTAAGTTAATTTCACAGAGCAGAAGAATCAGAGCATTAACTAAAGCACCCCGTCCAGTAGATAACAAATAATCTAATCAAAATCTATCAATTGTATGAGCACGGTAGACTTTCACAGACAGCATTATTGAAGCCTTGGATATATAACTAAAGACCCACCATTCCCTTCCCGACTTGATAGAAAGAAAAACAAACTAAGCATAACTGACAAAACAAAGGGAGTAAAGCACTAAACTACACTATACATTCCCACATCATCAATGCTCAAGCTTGTACACTTAGAATGATGTTCGAAGGAAGGCAACCTTGGCTGCAATTAAGCAAATAAACAAAGGCATTAGTAGCAAATGAAGTGAAAAGAAAAAGCGCAACCAATAAACACATCATGGTCCGGTCCGATCCTGAAGAGATGAGGATCATTCCTTGCAACACAAAGAATTAATAAGCAAAGGCGAGTGGAGATCTAGTTCCAGAAATCAAATCCTAAATTATTTATACGTAAGCCATCGAACAACAGCAACCCCTAGCTAGCTCACGCGATGTATCTATCTATCTGTCAAGCAATCAGTATATTTATGAATGAAGACAGAGGAACAATGGAATAGAATACCCACATTGACGACGGGGAAATTTAGATAACTACCGGTCATCCACCCTTTGACAGTTTGAAACATCTCACGGGAAGTCGTAAATTCCATCATACCCAAACGGACCACCCCCTCCGTTCCGGCGTCCTTTTTCCGCTTCTCCTTCTTCCAGACATCATCGCTTCTTCCGGCGTCACCGCTCTCTGCTTCCCCAGTTTCCTCCCTTGCTCGCTTTACAACTTCCTCTGGATTCCTTCCCCTAAAAAAAAAAAGCTTCCTCTGGATTCCTTTCAATGGCCATATTGCGGGAGCCTAGAAAGTGAGACCGATAGGGAAGGAAGTTTGTGACAACCGTGTCGGAGGAGGTGAATTTGACTGCTAACGTCGCAGAGAGGAAGAACGAGAAGAAGAATGTAGAGGAGAGGAGAGGAGAGGAGAGGAATTGGCCAATTAGGGTTTCCGACTACACGTACGGAATCGTTGGCAATCACGGATTGTAAAATATTGGGCTTAATTGCAAGTTTGGTCACTCGGATTGCTACAAAAATTCACGTTTGCCACTCAAATTAATTTATTCCATTTATAGTCACTTAAATTAGGTTAACAGTCCAAGTTTGGTCACTCACCGTTAGTCCCCATTAACTTTTGCTGATGTGGCGGTCTGGGAGCCGTCTCCGATCCTTTTTGCTGATATTCCAGGTACTCAGCCAACCAACGCTCCGCTTTTCCCATTATTTCGAATTCCTCCAGTTTCTTCTTGTTCGAACACTGACTGTTCCGTTCTCCCCACATGAACCAGAGGGCCGCTAGAAATTGGGCTATCTGCTCGTCGGACTCGGTCTCCTGCAGAGCCACCATAAATACATACCATTACCACTCATCAGGAAGTTAAAGCTCTCCTACAAAACACTTAAACTATACATAGTTTGAGATGGTTGTCATGATATTGTACGTAATCCTAAAGTCTAGTAGTTGTCCAAAATATTTTGGTTTAGTAAATAGGCAGGCCCATTTAATTTTTTACCCATAATGTTTTGGTTTGTTGTGCACATGCAAATAAAATAGTGAATCACGAAAGTTTGGTTTGGTTGGTTGCATAGAAGTATAAATAATTTTGTATATTAGGTGTATCATTAATTGGTTTCATTGGTTAGCAGTGTTGAAACCAAACCAAACCACCTAAACCAAATAAGCTAAATTATTTAACCAAACCAAACCAATTATCCAAATTAACCAAACCAAATTAACCGAATGCTACCGGTTAATATGGTTACGACGGTAACCAATCCGTTTGAACACCCCTACCGCAGATAGTTATAGAATGAAATTGAAGGAATGACAACTTTTAAACTCTATACAAAAATTACTTCTTCCAAACGAATAAAACATCAACTCCTCTTTGAAAGATGACACCAACACCTGCACTTGCTTCGCAGGGCCACCACAAGACTGGTTACAACATTCCTTCCACAGTATGGCCACCATCCAGCTCCAGAGAGTGCCATTATGCACCCATAAGCCCCTTCTTTCTGCACTTCCCTGCAAGTCTGCTGTAAACATGCATCCCAACTGTTTGGCCAGTTATGAACTCTGTGAAAAGCAGCCATAAAGAATTGTTGGGCATAGCTACAACCACAAAACAAGTGGTCTCGATCTTCATCTGCAGCACTACACAACATACAATCCGCATTATCAATCATACCCCACGCTTTCAATCTCTCTTTAGTTTTAATCCTGTCAAGAATAATCATTCATGAGATAAACCAATATATGAGAATAGAGTATTTCGTCCACAGAACCCTCCACCATAAAGCTTTAGGTTTGTGAGGACGAATAAAGTCCCAAACTCTCTGAACCGAATACTTCACAAGGGGCTTCCCCTCCCAAGTAACTTGCCCTATACTGTTGACATGCATTCTATTCTGAAAACAGCTTCTGAGTTTCAATATTTGTTTCCAGACCCAAGAACCAACATTGGCAGCAGGTAATGACCAAATGGAGCAATTCTTGAGTCTGTATCGGTGAATCCATGCGACCCAAAAGCTGCCCCCTTGCAAGAATAAAAGCCAGAGCAATCTGCCACAACATGCTATGTTCCATGTGTGCAGATCCTTGAGGTCAAGTCCTCCTTCTTGCTTAGGAGTAGCTATAATACTCCACGCCACCTTGGCCTTGCCAGAGCCATCTCCAAACCAAAGAAAATCATAGCACAGTTTGTGTATTTGATCAAGAACATTCTTCGGAAGCATAAAGATCGACCTCCAAAAGTGGACTAAAGAGTAAATAACCGACGACACAAGGTGAAGGCGTCCTGCATATGAAAGTTTATTGGCTTGCCATGTTCTTATCCTACCAGTGATCTTATCAACAAGCTTGGCACACTCACTACAAGAAAATATGCCTAATATGACGGGATGATTTTGTCACGTTATATGTCGACTTTGTCACAGTAGGTCCTTTATGACAAAATATTTTGTCACAAAGTTTTGTGACAATAGCCCCGTCGTATTAGGTCTGGGGTGACAAAAAATTGTAACGTTTGTCACAACAGTGTTTCCTGTATTGTGACAAATATCGTACATCATAACAGGATGCATTTGTGACAAAATAAACAAGGTGATGTCTTTGTCACACCACACTTCCATTTTGTCACATTAGACGTTATTTTTGGGCACCGGTTGTGACAAACGGTAGGTTATGAACACCTTGATGCTCAGATTGTTTGTCACAATGTTTTTTTTGTCACATATTGCTCCAATATTATGACAAACCATATTTGTCATTATTTGCTGCAATCCGTTGTGATGATTCTTCGACCACATTTTGTCATTTTAAGGAAATCTGTATGGTACGAATAATTAATGTGACAAAATAACGTTCTGCCATACGAGGTACATCATTAGCTGGTTGACAGAACCATTTCCATTCATCCAAATGTACTCCATTATCCGAAACTTACAGAATACTTGAAATAAAAAGGCATCTGCAAATTAAACAACCAACATGTCCTGCCACAAAAGAGCTACTACTAGATTAGTTCAGTAGCCTGACCCTTCTACCCCCAAAAAGAAACATCCACACATGCTCCTCCACCCAAAAGCAAGCATAAAAACAAGCATCACGCCCTCCATAGCTTCGCAAACCTTCTAGCATCCCCTTACCTGTTAGTACATGAACACATATATGGCATCACAAACCACACAAGAAAATGTACACTTCACCATCCAAACACTCAAGTAAATATAAAGATTCCTTGTTCAAGTTGTTTTGTGCATACATTTTTGCAACCAACTCGAGCACAGTAGTTTCAAGATGGTGGTGTGATGCTTCCATTTGTTCAAACTTGCTGTCTTGCGTCTGCAGTTTGGTTTGTTGGATTTCAATTTGATCCTCAAATTGCTTGGTCCGCCTTTCAAAATTCTCTCTTTCGGCTTGCCTTTCTGCCCTTTCAGCTTACAATTCTCTCTCCAACTGAAGCTCTCTAGCAGAGCACCTTGCTTCCTTTTGTGATATCCTTGGCTTTTTGTTCAACACCTTCTCAACTATCGCGGAACATGGAACATTATTACCTTGTTCCTTAGACTGAGTGCTCAAGACATTCATCGATTCCTACAAGTGCAACAAAATAACAACCACAATGCTCAATACAGTGATTAAGTAATCAATTATGGAACAAGGTCAACTGAGACAAGATGGAAGACAAGGGCATACATAACTTTTTTCGGTGTCTGGATGAACCCAGGTACCATCACGCCTCTTATGTATGTCAGCATAGACAAGGAATTCTGGCGGTGGCA